CCCTCCCGCCCTCAAGAACCTTTGATAATTTATAAATTATTATTTTTTCATGTGTTTCACTGGCCGATGTCTCCCTTCACCCACTTTTTTGTTGCCTGTCCCACAGGGAGGGGGTTATATGTAGATCATTGTGATCTGTTCCCCCTACCTCCCCCCACCTTCCCGTTACCCTCCTGGTACCGCTACGCTCATTGGTCCTGCCATTCCTAGCTCTAAGGAGCATACTGGCTGTACTTCTTCGGAGACAGATGTGTTTGGTCTTCAGGCCGCCCACAGTGCATCCAACATTCCTCAACAACGCCATGGTTCAGATGCATCAATTCCTCCTCCGTCTTTCTCATCCATTGCTCAGTGTTCTCATCCATTGCTCAGTGTTCACATGCATATGAGGTGACTGAGAAACACCACAGCTTGGGTCAGCTGCACCTTAGTCCTCAGAGTAGCATACTTGCCCTTCAACATTTTAAAAGGCTTTGTGCTGCTGACCACGGGGCTGGGTGGAGGAGGGGCTAAACACAGATGAATTGAGAATAGCTAACATCCTAGTCACAGCTTGGCCCAGGTCGGATTCCAGGTCATAGTGACCCCATGTGACAGAGTAGAACTGTCTCATTGGGTGTACTATTGGGAAGTCTATTGCCAGATTTTTCTTCCGCGGACGGGCTGGATATTCCAGATTAGCAGCCTCGCTTCTAACCTTTCATCACCAGGGATTAACAAAGAGATACTTGGATTTCCCCCAACCCCGGTTCCCCATAGCCCCCAAAGAATGATGCGCCTAAGGAATTTAGGGACGCCTCCGGAACGGCAGGCGTCGCTGCAGCCGCGCGAGCTCCTCTAGGCTCGCAACGGCCTACTCTTTGGTGCCGACGGCCTCTACCCCGGTGGGCCCAGAGCGCAGGAGCTCCCCGGCCTGCAGGGGGCGCGCGTGCGCAGACGGGGCCGGGGCGCGCGGGGGCCGGCGCCGGAAGTGTGCGGTTGCCATGTAATATCCTGGCCGCGCGGGCGCGCGAGAGGCTGAGGCGGCGCCGCGGCAGGCGCGGGGCTGGACCGAGGGCGGCAGAGGCGGTGCCGAGCGGGCCGCGGAGGCGCGCGAGGTTTCGGCGGCGTCCGGCAGCCTGTCGCTTGCGCGGTCGCTCGGTCCAGGTCGCTCTGTCCGGGCGAAAGGCCCGGCGGCGGGAGGCAGTATGTCGGTGGCGGGGCTGAAGAAGCAGTTCTACAAGGCGAGCCAGGTGAGCGGAGGCCAAGCGGGGCCGGCGGGGCCGGCGTTGGCACGTGTCCCGCTGGGTGGGGCGCCCAGGGGGAAGCGTGTGTGTTGTTGGGGGGGAGGGGGGGCTGCGAGGGAGCCCATGCCCTGCCCGCCACGGGGGTCCCAGCCTCCTGAAGAGGGGTGAGCAGAGGGGCCCGGACCTGCCTCTGGGCGGGTTTGCTAGAGACATGGAGTGAGTGGAGGCCAGGGGTGCGCCAGGGCAGGGACCCCTCTTTTCTGAAAGTAGGAGACGAACAAGGGGAAGCGCTGTACCCGGAGGCTGTCGACACCGGAACCTTCTCTTGCTAGAGACCCAGGGGCCAGGGAAACTAAGTCTGGAGAAGCATTTTTTACCTCTTGGAGCCGAATGGAGAGGGTGGGGTGAAGCTGACACACGCCACCTTACCCCTTCTGCATCCATCTGGTCTCTCTCCTCAGAGACAGAGACTGTCAGAGGTCGCTTTGGTCACAAAGATGTGTGTACACCCTAAGTTTCAAAGCCACATGATGGTTGTGGCCTGCTGGTTCGTGCCGCGGGCCGATACCGACTCCTAGCAACTCCGTCTGACTGTAGAACTGCCCCGTATACGGTTGGCTGCTGTGGGGTTGTTAGGGGCCATCGGCTTGGTTCTGACCCATATCGGCTTTATGGGAAACATTAGGAAGCACCGCCTGGTGCTGTGCCACCCCAATAATGCTTGTCATATTCAAGCCCATGGTTGCAGCCACGGTGTCCACCCGTCTCGTAGAAGGCCTTCATTTTCGCTGTCCCTCTATTTTACCAAGCGTGATGTCCTTCTCCAGGGCCTGGTCTCTCCTGACAACATGTCCAAAGTATGTAGGAAGAAATCTGGCCATCCTTGCCTCTAAGGAGCACTCTGGTCATACTTCTGCCAAACCAGATCACCGTGTCCTAACTTTTGGCAGCCCACGGCACTTTCAATATTGTTAGCCAGCATCACAATCCAAGCACACTGATTCTTCTTCAGTCTTCTGAAGGGTTTGCTCAAAACAAAACAAAACATAAAAACTCACTGCCAACGAGTCCATTCTGACTCGGCTATCCTGTAGGACGACAAGGCAGAACTGCCCTTGTGAGTTTCTGAGACTAACCTTTCTGGGAGTAGAAACCCTCATCTTTCTGCTGCGAGAGGCTAGTGGTTTCGAACTGTGGGTCTTGCAGTTCGCAGGTCAATGCATAACCAACGTGGACACCAGATCTCCTAGGGCAGGGGTCCTCCAACTTTTAAAACAGGGGGCCAGTTCATTGCCCCTCAAACCTGTTGGAGGGCCGGACTATAGTTTAAAAAAAAACCCAACTATGAACAAATTCCTATGCACACTGCACATATCTTATTTTGAAGTGAAAAACAAAACGGGGCAAAAACACCCGGCAGGCCAGATAAATGTCCTCGGCGGGCCGCATGTGGCCCGCAGGCTGTAGTTTGAGGACCCCTGCCCTAGGGTCTCCTTGGCTGCGATTTTCACAGGGGCAGGTGTCCGGGTCTTTTTCCCTCCGAGAGGTCTCTCGGTTAGCAGCTGGCGTGCTTCCCTGTTGTGCCGCCTTTCTAGATGTGGTATACCTTGTGTTTTTCCAGTAAAGGGCTTGGGGATCACACTGTTGTTGTTAGATGCTGCCCTGTTGATGGAATTCATTCGAGACCCCGCGGACAGAAGGAAGCACCGCCCGGTCCCGGGTCCGCCTCACTGTGGTGTTGTTTCAGCCCGTTGTTGCAAACACTGCCTCAGTCCATCTCCTTGAGGGTCAGCCTCCATTTCGCCGACCCTTCTTTACCAAGCCCGATGGCCTCGGAATTTTTCAACATCAGCACTGCTGATGTTTGGGGGCATGATCCTTCACTGGGCTGGGGCCGTCGTGTGGCCGTGGGGTGTTGAGCAGCACCCCTGGCCTCCACTCACTCGATGTCTCTAGCAAACCCGCCTCTCCCCACCCCCCACCCCAAGCCTAACAACCACAAGAGCACCTCTCCTTTCTCTCTTCTCGTCGTCTCCCAGAATGACTGCTTGGACCCCTTTGGACAGCGTGGAAACGGGCAGCATTTCATTCTGTTTGTACCTAAGAGTCACAATCCCTTAGGGCAGTGGTTCTCAACCTTCCTAATGCCGTGACCCTTTAATACAGTTCCTATTGTTTAATACAGTTCCTAATGCGGTTGTGGTGACCCCCCTCAAACACAAAATTATTTTCGTTGCTACTTCATCACTGTCATTTTGCTACTGTGATGAATTGGGCGACCCCTGTGAAAGGGTCGTTTGACACACCCCCTTCCCCCAAAGGGGTCGTGACCCACAGGTTGAGAACGGCTGCTGTGACGTCTCTTGGATAGTTTAACAGGCCCATGATACTCTGTCCCATGGAGCATGTTGTTGGGTGCATTCGAGTCATAGCTGTAATGTTGATGTAGCTTCGAACCACTGACCTTTGGGTTTGGCCGTCGGATACTTAACCATTGAGTCACCATGGCCCCTTCATGGCATAGGCCAGCATTTATTTAACTGGTCTCTGACTAAAGGACATTTAGATTGTTGCTAAGGTTTTCATGCTCACAAACAGTATCACACTGCCTAGCGCGTGAGCGACTTTGCTTGTGGGTAGGATTGAGTGGTTTAGATGATCAACTCCCAGGCGTGGGAATGCTCAGTCCACGGTGACACTCGATGTCCCCGAGAGACGATGCAGTAGGGTTTTTGGAAAGTCCAGCCCTGCCATTTCCCAAGTGTGCATGTAAGCTGGGGGCCACTTTCTAGAAAACTGGACAAAGCTAAGGTTTGTGCAGTTATTTCAGTGAGACCCATACACACACTCCCTTGAAACCGATTGGTCCGCGCATCCCAGGTTAAGAGCCCTCCATGTGTGGAATGTGGGTGACTGGGCCTCCATGGAGGACTGAATAGTGATCCCAGGAATTGTGTGGGCTCCACCCACCGTTTCAAGATGTTGGGAGGAAGGAGAATGTACCAGAGGGAGAGAAGCATGTAGTGTGGCGCGGATTCTGACTCACAGCCGCAGTGCTCAGAGTGGGAGAGCGTGCCCTAGGCTTCTGGCTTGGGTGACACTTCATTTATTGTGAGCAGTCTTATGGGCACTGCACCCACATCTTACAGTTCTACAGTACAGTCATGACAAGAAGCGTTGTACAATCATGGCCACAATCAATGTGAGAACATTTTCTTCTTTTTTAAAACAGGGTAGAACTGCCCCCTATCAGTTTCTAAAGCTAACTGTTTATAGGAGCAGAAAGTCCCCTCTTTCTCTTGGTGGTTTCGAACTGCTAACCATGCGGATCGCAGCCCAACGCATAACCACTATACCACTAGGGCCCCGAGAACATTTTCTTCTTACACTCATTGTTATCAGTGTACTTTAAAAATTTGTGGCATGAATATACACAACAAAACCGTCTCCAATTCAACAATTTCTACAGGTATAATTTGGTGCCACTGATTAGACTCTTCGTGTTGTGAAGCCATTATTGATATCCTTTTCCAAATTGCTCCACCACCAGGAACATACACTCAGTGCCCCTCAGCAAAAACTCTTCCTCCTCCATCCGTGGTAACCGTTGGTCATCTTTGGTTTAATTTTTGTTTTAGTGAAAGTGTGTGCAGGTGAACGAACACTCATCATCAGCTTCTACATGTCTGATCCAGGAATGTGGACCCCATTTGTCGCGGGGTGTGTCTCTTCTCTACACCAGCGGTTCTCAACCTGTGGGCCAGGACCCCTTCGGGGGTCCAACGACCCTTTCACAGGGGTCGCCCGCTTTATAATAGCAGCAAAATGACAGTGATGAAGTAGCAACGAAAATAATGTTATGGTTGGGGGTCACCGCCACATGAGGAGCTGTATCAAAGGGTCACGGCATTAGGAAGGCCGAGAACCGCTGCTCTCCACACTCACTGTTCATTTCACCCCCACTGGCTCAGACTCGCTGCCTCCTAAACCGCCCTTCTCCGCTTCTGAGCGGCTGCTGCCCACGTGAGCTCACATTCGGTTTTCCAGTGCCGGTGGCAAACATGCATGACCAATTCAACACGGCTCTTCTTTAATTTAAGGATGACTCTGGGGGCTCCTTCCAGTTCAGGGTTTGAAGATTCTCTGCAAGTAATAGATGCAGAGGTCCCTCCCGGCTCGGCAAGTCCCAGAAGAAAGTCTGGAGTCTGGCTAAGAATTTGAGGTTCAGTTCCTCTCTCCTTTGCTTTTCCGTCAGGGTTCGTCTACTGGTGCTCCGATGGTTGCCGAGCCCCATCTGTCCCTCTGGATGAGAGGCAGCTATTATTGCAGCCCAGTTCCTTCTCCCATTCCCAGGTTCCCTTGCTCTGCAGTATTTTCCATGGCTGGTTGGGGAGTAAAGATCGCCGGGCCTTTCTTCTGAGGCACCTTGGGGCAGACACAGACTGCCAAAAGTAGTAACTGTGGGCAAACCTTCCCCACCCCACCCCCTGAGACTGCTGGCCCCCCGCAGCATCGGCGGCTGGCCTCTTTTGTCCCTTGAGGGAAACAGTAATGACCTTGTTGGGTGGGTGTGTGGCAAGCGTCTCTGGGCATCCTCGTGAGAGCTCTTCTAGAGAACCAGTGACCAGAGGGATTTTAGGACTGCTGTCAAACAGGCTGCTTAGCAGTCCCAGCTCACTGCCACCGAGTCAATGGCGACCCACACCACCCTCTGCTCCTGTGGGCTCCTGAGTGTAACTTTCCGGCGGTAGGCAGCCCGTCTTTCTCCCGCAGAGTGGCTGGTGGTTTCGAATAGCTGGTCTTGCAGTTACCAGCCCACCGTGTAACCACTACACCACCAGGGCTCCTTTATTACCCACTAGTCTTCCCCAAACCCACGCCCCTGCCATGGAGTCCACACTGACCCGTAGCAACCCGATCTAGGGCTTCTGAGGCTGTAAAATTCCAAGAGAGCAGACCGCATCACAGTTCTCTCTTGGAGCTGCAGGTGGGTTTGAACTGCTGAC